TTGGTTTTTTATTACTTCGAACTTTGAAGAAAGCAAAAGGTAATATTTATTCTGGGAACGTTAACCAGAAAAAGAAAACTTGGCTTGTTAATAAAGATTCTTCACAATATGCGTTTAATAACACTGCAGAGCAAACGTTAATCTTAAGCTGAATTTGTTAACCTAATCAGATATATCTAAAAGCAAAGGCCACAACAACTCAAGTTTTAGCTCTTTCATTCCATAGTTGGAAGGTCATAATCTTATTACTTTTGACATAGTAGATCATCGTTGTCATTGTTTGAAATGTAGTGCAATTTGGGTAAACTCTTTAAATCTGGTTGTATTGTTTTTCCACATGTTTTATTTTCGACTTGAATTAGTGTTTGTTCGATTATAAAGAGACAACTAAAAATTTAAGTCAGCAAAGCCAACTAGAGTCTATTCATCCTCACAAGAAAGTTAAACTATAACATATTTGACTACATCGGTCAATTATTGGATATTTTGTTAGGATCAACAATGACTAGGCTCCAATTGGCTTTTGCTAACTTGAACTTTTGGTTGTCTCTTTGGATCATTGGCTCCAAATCTATCAAGAAATTTCCCATATGATTGTACGTAACTTCTCAAATGAAGTAAATTTGATTGAACATACAAGTTAAACCAAATAATTATTGAGGTATTCATCAATTTCCCCCCTGAACTTGTGAATATTGGCCAATTTCCCCCCACAACTCTCATAATTAGTCAATTTCCCCCTCAACTTTAATTTGGCCAATTTCCCCCCTCAACTCTCATAATTTGTCAATTTGCACCCTACTGTTAATTTTTTAATTTGATCATAATTAAACAAGTGTGTGTAAGAAACTAAATAAGATGTATGTTAATCATTTTCCTATGTCTTTATCCTATTACAAATAGATTAAAATTTAGAATTTTACAATTTATCATAGATAGTATTATTAGTCATAATAAATCAGTATAGAGTAATTTTATTTGATTTTTTACTATACAAAATTGATGATGAAAATGATTGATGTGTACATTTTTGTATGTGAATACAATTTTCTTTATAAAAGTGAAAGCTAAGTTCAAGTAAATTGCGGAGAATCGAGCTTTAGTGCAAAAATGGCTAGTCAATTCATAATTATCGACTCCTTATTAGGAATAACCCATTTTATTGAAATAGATCTGATCCATGAGTTTAGGATTATTATTTCTTCTTCTACATGCTTTAAACCCGATTCATAACTTTTTCTTATAATCAACCCATATCACATACTAATTGTATTATATTTTTGTACATTTTACCCTATATTATGTAGGTGAGTTTATGTTAATTTTAGTACTTTGTTGGAAGTTATTAGAAAGATTGAAAGGAAAAAAAAAAGAATAGATGGAAAATTTAAAAAATTTAACAGAAGGGGGCAAATTGACTAATTATGAGAGTTGAGGGGGGAAATTGACTAATTATGAGAGTTAAGGGGGGAAATTGGCCAAAATTAAAGTTGAGGGGGGAAATTGGCCAATGATCACAAGTTTAGAGGGAGAATTGATGAATACCTCATAATTATTAGGGATCTTTACCTATAAAGACAAAAACAAAAAATACATTTCCATAGAATTTCACTAGTTTTGAATCATTTCAACGAGAGACAAAAGTCTAGACCCCAACAAACCTATCCAAAAACAAGCAAACCAAAATTTTAAAATTCTAGCCATGCTCCCAATAGACTTGTTACTTAATCAAAGCTAAAACTACAAAAAGACACCATCTATAAAAACTTCAACTGATTTTAAATTCGTAAAAATTAATATCTATAAGATCAGTTTTAAAATTCTAGCAATTCTACCAGATTAGTTTCAAAATTTCAATAATTATGCAACATCAATTTCAAATTCATGCACTTCTACAAGATCAGTTTCAAAACATTTAAAACTTCTGCAAGATCAACTTCAATTTTTTGCACTTCTACTTGACTAGTTTCAAAATTCATGCAATTCTGCAAGACCAGTTTCAAAATTCCAACAATTCTGTAAGATCAACTTCAAAATTCCTGTACTTCTGCAAAATTAGTTTCAAATTTTTTAGCACTTATGCAAAATAATTTTCAAAAATTTTGCACTTTTGCGTGTCTACTTTCAAAATTCATGCTCTTCTGCAAGATCAACTTCAAATTTTTAGCACTTCTACAAGATTAGTTTAAAATTTTTAGCACTTCTGCATGACCATTTTCAAAATTCATGCACTTTTGCAAGATCAATTTCAAAATTTCAACAATTAGGCTAGATCAGATTCAAAATTCCAGCAATTGTACAATATTAGTTTCAAAATTCATGCATCCAAATCATCCAAATCTCAAAATCAAATACTTCCAAAAATACTAAAATCAAAACAAACAAAAAAATCTCAATCGTTCTCATAAAAAAACCCTCATAAATTTAGGGAACAATATAAAGTAGGGGTGGGTTCGGTTTAAATCGGTTCGGTTTTTTGCCAAAACCGAAACCAAACCGAAATTTCAGTTCGGTTCGGTTCGGTTCAATTTTTTTCGGTTTTTTTCGGTTTGGTTTCGGTTTTTTGTTTTTATTTTTTTTCAAAAAATGAAAAACATTGAAATTTTAAATTTTAACATATCCAACACAATCATAACATAAACATTCTAACTAGAATCAAAGACAATGAAAATAAACATTTAAAGTTGAACTAAAATCATCAATCAAGTCTTCCAAAATCCAAACTAACAACCTCACAACACAAAAATCACACAAAAATCGTACAAATGACTTAGAAAAGTTAAATTGTATGATGTTGTTCAAAGATCAATGTTGTTTGCTTGTAACTGCATGTTGACAACTTGATTAGTAAAGGTAATGCGTGGGTGGATTTATTTAGTGTGTGTTAGATTCTTTTCCATCACAAATTACCCAAGTAATCTACCCGAAATAAATGTTTATGGATTATGTTACGTGTTATATGAGAGTAGAGTTGGAAAAGAAAGCTGGCGCAGAAGTAGACAGTGCTATGGAGATGGATGTAGGTACTTCGGGAAGAGGTTTGGTTCTGGAACCTTATATGGGGAGAAATAATAGGTTAGGGTTTAGAGTTTTTATAGGCCTTTTTTTAATATTTTAAGCTTAAAGTTTGGCAACACATTGGGTTTAGCACATTTTAACTTACAAATTGGGTTTAGAAAATAATACCCAAAACAAATAATTAAATAAAAAAATTAATTTAATTAATTCGGTTTGGTTCGGTTTGGTTCGGTTTCTAGATCACTAAAACCGAACCGAACCAAAAGAATTCAGTTCGGTTCCGTTTTTTCAATTCGGTTCGGTTTTTTCGTTCGGTTCGGTTTTTTCGATTTCGGTTCGGTTTGGTTTTCGGTTTTTTTAACCCACCCTTAATATAAAGAAGAAGAGGAGGGGAAAGAGAAGTATGAAGAAAAGTAGGAGAGCGAAGGACGAAGTAGAAGGTGGAGGAGAGAGAGGCAGGAAGAAGAAAGAGGAGAGAAAATGAGATAAGTACCGAAAAAAAAATATTGGAGAAAGGAGAAAGACCTTTTTTTTTTTTTTTTTAACTACATTAAGGTGAAGGGTGATAGATTTAGCCTCACAATAGAGAAATTTTTCGTTGTAATTAGGATACAGGTGGTACACCACATATTTTTATATAAGTGATGAGAAGTTTTATTTTTTAAGTTATTAAATTTTTAACACATATACCCCACCGTTTGTATAGTAGCATGTGATGTATCACCCCTTGTACCGGTTACATTGAAAAAATCTCTCTTCACGATGGGCTTAACCTCATGAAATAAATAAAATATTGTCCCTCTCCAAAATGCATAATCTATATGTAATTTACCCTTATTATTATCTTTATATGTAAAGAAATTGAATTATGAACTATCATAATCATAACTAGATACTCTACTCTCACCACTTTTGCTAACCCAACAGTAAATCGAAATCCTTTTAAAGCATAAATTATGTGTCAGTTAACAATTTGTGCTAAAGTGAATTGTTCAAGAGGCTGGGCCACAACCCTTAACTGTTTATCCGATTGAAAATGTTTCAATCCAAGCCCCCACTCGTATGATTCAAAAGTCGAGTTGGGTTAAGACAAATCAAGTTGAACGTGGTCTACATAGTTTTGTCTAGGGAGCTTTTTATTCGGACCCAGCACAAATGTTCTTAAAAATGAACAATCATCAGCTCACCTTTAGTTTAATATACTGATGTATTAAATGAAAAATGAACACTTGACATTGCCGGACCTCAATTCCACTTAGCCTAACCTCGATATCTCTGTAGTCGTCATAGAATTGCCATTAGCATCGACGAGGGAGTTTATAGAATGAGTTGACGCCATTGTTGTCGACGACGACGACTGCGGCAGTGCTGGTGGTGCTTTGTAGTTTGGGTCCAATTAAAAGCTCCATTCTTTGTATTTGTAGTTAAAGTAGATAGTTTTTTGTCGCGTAGTATTACAATCTAGCGGTATTACTTTTTATTTGTAACTAGAAAAGGTCTTATATTAGAATATCATGGATGACGAGTTTAATACCAATGTATTTCTCCACCGCATAGTATAAATATGATTGTATAAAAACTATATAAAAAGGGTAGTACCACTCCTTTTTACTTTCTACACATCCCATGTTAATTTCTGTCTTTTGATCCTTCATTCGACGGCTGAAAATTAAAAAAAAATGTGTGAAAAATAAAAAAGATCGTGTGGATAGTACCATCCTATAAAAAATTGTAGGTAGATGTGCATCGTACAAGCCAAGCCCGTTGTGGCTAGATGTGCATGCAATCTTGCAGTAGTTGAACGATGTTATTATGTTGATTTTTTTGTCCTAGTACAAGCACTATAGGGTAAAGAGAGAAGGAACTTAGGTGCAACAGCGGTAACACAATGCTGTACTCAACTTGGTTACGTTAGAGGGTGCAATATGTTGGTTTTCTTGATGCTTACTTTTAATTTAAGATTCCGTGGCAACAATTAGAAGAAAGAAAAAAAATTGAAGAAAACTCTTCATAGATTAACTACAAGTACATGATGATCACTGATTAAGTCTCGCTAACTGAGAGAACAAAAAAACACAAAAGATATAAAGAGCATGAAATCAAAGAACAGAAGTATACGCAGCAGAGCAGACGGAAAGCTTTTGCCTACATACAACTCTTCACCCATTGTTCCTCTCTCTAATACAGCCCTCCCCATTTCACTCTAAGAATGGCTCCATGACATCAGAGTACATACCAGCTTCCGCGTTTTGATACCCGACAGGTTGATGCTGATGGTGGTCAACCAAATTCGAAGACGACGAAGCCATTCTTGCAGGTAAAGTAAAGCTCCTCTTGTACTTGTTTTCCATGTTCTTCCTTGCACTACTATCCAGATGGCAGTCCAAGCTCAAAAACTCATTGTGATCTGAATTTGCATTCGAGTTCTGGTGGTGGTGATTTTCGTCCCCGCCTTTGTTTTCCGAGCCCCCTGGATTGAACAAAAGCTTTGCATCATCAGACCGCCCCGTTAGTGCATTGAAGAAGGACAATCCATTAGGCCATTTGATGTCACTTTCATGCTCTCTTCCTCCTCGTCCTCCTCCTCCCCCCATCATGTCTCCTCCCATCTGTGTTTCTGACGTATGAGGCAGCAAAAACATGTGTGTCTCGTCTTTACTGGCTTGAGGATTGTACCCAAGTCTAGCAGCAGAGTTTTGAAAATTAGGTGAAGGAAGCTGCATGGTTGCTGCAGATGGAAGAGGCCTTTGAGCCCAATTGAAAAGAGGCGGAGGAGAGCGGATTGGCATCGGGGACTGCATTGAGGGCAGTACTGATGATCCAGAATTGTTTCGGTTTGACGAAAAGAGTTGGGAGAGGTAGAAACCAGACTGGTAGCCTAGAGATTCAAATGTATGCCTCATTCTTAGCACAAAATGCAGATCTTCCGGTATCTGACCCCACACATTGTTCATACCCTTTTATTAATCAACAAATGAATAACATAAAAATAAAAATATATATTGAAGCGAAAAGAATACATAATCTCACAATCTTGCAGGAGCCCAACTGCAGAAGCCCATGACCAGCTTGAATTACAGCAATAGTCTGTTGAAAATTAAATTAAACTGTTCAAAAAATTAAGAACAACTTACACCTGGGGAAATTTTTTTTACTGTAGCTTCAAAAAATGATGAGACCAATAATAGTGAAACAGGAACTATTTTTCTGTTCTGACCTGAATGCCTGACTCAAACTGATCAGTCCACTCAGGAGGAAGCTGCAATAAATAGCATAAAAAAAAGTAAAGTTAATACCATATCAATCAGGAGGAAGCTGCAATTCCGACCCACGACTCGGTCGTAGGGCTTGTGGGGCTTAAATACTGCTTAACTGCGCGAACTACTAGCGCTACTGATAAATAAGCAAAAAGAAATATGTGGGTTTGACTACATACAGCATCATATGAACTTTGCCAGTAGTTGGAGATGTTTGGCTCACACTCTGTGGGTTCTTTGAAGACCCATTTGTGGCACTTATCAGATGCAACCTTCCCCATCAACCTGTTTAAATGAGTGCAATCAATGAGAGCACACATACAAACAACTCATTTCCCATAAAACTTCTTTTACAAACGATAAAATAAATACACTAAATTCAAACTTGGGTGCTGAGGGTTGAGCCAACTTGGCTAAAACCCATGTCTGCAACTCCATACAACTTCATGTCCTGCAACATTTTTTTAGAGAGAGGGGAGAGAGAGAGAGAACAACAAAATAAAAAGACATACCAAGTACCCACCCTTCTCCATAATTATACAACTGAATGGACATTTTGCTGAAGGCCTTTCTGACAGGATCTTCTCTATCAATTTCTTCCAGACAATCTGATGAAACTCTTCCTCGACAAAACCCATCTTCCCACATCAACATCCTTCACCAAATTCCACAAAAAAACAAGAACAAAAAAGAAATTACATAAAATTTTCAGTACTTTAATCACAAAATTACCAAAAACCCATTTCTTAAAACAGAGAGAAAACAGAGCAAAATTTGAATTAAATAGCTACTTACAAGCTACCATTGTCATCCCCAACCTTGCAGCCAGTACCACCTCTAACTCTCCTGCAACGAAATAATAACAAAAAGTGAATTAAACCCAGAATAGGAAACCATCTAAAACTCAAAGTATCCAAAGTTCAGCACAGATCAAGGGTAGAGAGAGAGAGAGAGAGAGAGAGAGAGAGAAAGTAGAGAGAGAGGGAGGGAGGGGTCATACGGGCGGGGACGGATGGTCCAGAAAACAGAGTAAGTCCAGTCAGTGTTGAGACAGATGGTTCTGAGGGCCTCATGAAGGGCCATCATCCCAACAGCTTCTTTGCTCCTATCTGTTGCTCCTGAGCCCACCATAATCTTCTCTCTCTCCCTCTATCCCCCTTTCTCTCTCTACCACTTTTCTTTTCTCTTTCCTCTTTTCTTCTGCCTTCTCTATATCTATATCTATCTATATATCTATCTACTTCTGCCTGAAAACACTGCCACTAGCTAGCTAAGCCTACTATCTGCTCAAACCCAACTGAAATTTTCTATCTTCTTTGGCACCTGCATATTGCTTTAACCACCACAAGGCACAAAGGCACACCCTTTATTCATCTCTCTCTCTCTCTGAATTTTTTTTTATTTTTAGTTCAACAACTTTGTCAGTGTTTACTACTAGTCTTGTGTGGTTTAGTTTGTCCCAAGTAGTCAGGTTTGGTATTTCTTCAGAGTTAGGGTGAAAAAGCGAGGGGAGGGAGTAAAAAGTGGGGTGTTTTGGGAGTTGCAAGTATTTAGGCACCGGAGAAACACTGGGGGAAAGGTGAGAGAGAGGGAGGGATGCGTGGGAAAAGTAAAAGAAGTGACAGTGATTTTTACAGTGGAATTACCATTCGGGATTGTCAGTTAGTTTAAGTGTTGGATTCCTGTGAGTTTCGAGACAAATGCAGGCATTGGAATCATAAATCACGTTTTGTATCATTTTACTTGAACTTCTTTATTCGGGCAACAAGTACAAGTCATAGAAACGGAAGTCACGTTTTGTACCATTTTATGTTTTAGCGAAAAATACAGATACCCTCGTGTGTAGGTGTGGAGGGATGGTCAACGGTTATACTGAACAGGTAACTGCGGTTATTTATCTATAACCGTTTATACTTATACTTGCATAACCGTTTATCCGTTGGGTAATTGTCTAAACGGTTATACACATACTCATAACCGTTTATAAACGGTTAACCATATTCATAACCGCATACCCATTTAACCGTAACCGTTTAATACCCGTTTACCTATTTACCCTTTTTAACCCGTTTATCTTTTTGTTTTTTACCATTACCCCTTTTTCATCCGTCTACATGTTTTTTAACAACTTGAAAATATAAAAAAATTGTCATAATTTTCTTTTTTTTGACAATTAAACACCGTTATAGGTACATTCATCATACATTTCCGTATTTTAATTTTTTAAGTCCTTATACCATTCCAATAATTGAAATAATAATTTACGGACGATATTTTTAACTGTTACCAATGAAGGTAAATATAATATTTGCTAAGTACAAAAATTGTTTAAAAGACATTTCTGTCAATTTCACGTTTACCCGTAAAGAATTTAAATTAATTCCTTGATGATGAGAATCATCATTTCTGTAACAGTGTTATTGAGAGAAGGATCAATGAATTCTTTGCTAATTTATTGGGTGCTAAGTATTATTGGATCGAGAACATGGTTTGTGTTAGTTTTATATATATGAAATAAATGGGTAAACGGTTACCCGTTTATAACTGCGGTTAATACCCATAACCGCCTATTTAAATTTCGCGGGTAAACGGTTATACTCATAACTGTTTATTTATCTAAACGGTTACCCATAACCGTAACCGTTTAATTTAAATAGACGGGTAACTGCGGTTACCCATAACCAATGGGTATTTACCCATCCCTACTCGTGTGACTGTTGATGCCAGATGGCAAACATTTACTAAGGAATTGGGGTAATTTTTGGACATGTTGCAAACGGACAAGGATTGTCTGCCCTCCCACTTCCGATGCCCTCCCGTGCCCTCCTGTTTTGTGTGGTCACGGTTAAGCCACGTCAATATTTTATATTATTTTTTTTATAGAGATAATAAGACAAAAATGAATAGTAATATAAAATGTTGACGTGACTTAACCGTGACCACACAAGCAGAAGGGCACCGGAAGTGGGAGGGCAGACAATCCTTGTATGTTGCAAACATTCAATTGACTAATGAAGTCATTGAGCATATGCATTATTAGCAAGAGAGAATTTCTCGTACAACAAAGTTGATATTTCTAGTTTTAGAGTATATTAATAACAAATAAATTTATATTATAACTTGAGTAAAATAATAAAATCACGTAAACGTATTCGAAGTACACTGAAAAATAGCTTGAATTTGGCCTTGTATTTTGTCAATAAATGGCTTCGCGCGCACATTTTTTTTCACTCTTTTATTTATTTATATTCATTGAGTCTTCTATAATGTATTCAATTCGAATGAAAAAATAAACACGAGTATATATGAATAGTAAATGAGTGAAAAATCCTTTCCTGGCTTTACATGCATGCTAATGTTGGTTAACCCTTTAAGTGAAGATATTCTATAATTTTCATTGCATGACCAAATTTCGTTTGAAGAGAGAAGATAAACACACATAAATATACAGCCAGTCACATGATAATTCTCTTTGGAATGAGTCAGTCAAATATTAGATGATGCGGCATTAGCCAACCATATTTCAGCATGCATCATATCTATCAAACTTTTTTCTTGTATTATACCAAAATTATAGGCATATCATTGTACCATTAACAATTTAACTGTGTGGTAGAAATTAATGGACAACAAAGAAACGCAAAAAGGAAGAAAGAAAAAGTGTTAACTTTTGAGTGGTAAACACAACATGCAAGTGGTTCTTTACTACAATAGTAAAAATGAGTTGAGCTCTTGTACGACGGTGTAGGTTCGAATTCCGTTGGGGACTAATTTAACATCTAATTTAACAAAATCTATCATTTGACAAAAAAAATGATAAATACAACACACTTTCACTTTAAGCCACTTATTAAGAATCAAACATCGGTGAATTTGAATGATTAATAGTTATAATAGAAATTATAATCTTTTAAAATCAACGTTCTGATGTTATATTAAAAATTTATATAGCAAAATCTTAAACATTAAGGTATAAGTCAACAATGTTGATGCAAATTAATCTCTAACTATAAGAAAAATCTACTTGTTGCCAAAGTTACCCACTTCGCCTTACTAAATCTCGAAGAATGATGGTAGAGAGATCATTTATTTAAATTATATTTTATAAACCCTATAATATAATTATTTATAATTGAATTATCACTTAATTGTTAATTAACGTGTTTATTTTGTATTATTATCATATCATATAATTTACAAATTGGGAAATGCTAATGAAACTCTCTATGGACTCTTCGCTACTTTATGTCTTTGGCATAATTTTCATGGTAACATTATAAAACATTGTCTAAAAAATATCAAGTAACGGAAAGTCTATAAAGAATCTAACTTTGAGAGAGTCGCATTTCTATTTACAAATTTGATCACTTTAACATTACTCAATCTCAAATATAAAAACTGAAAGATAACTAAAGCAAATGAGATGGCACAGAATCTTTACCAGTGAAAGGTGATAAGGTGGATACTGACAGTTAGATTTGGATTAATATTTTAAGACGCTATGATATTGTTGTTATGTCACTTTTCAAGGTGTAATCATAATAATATTGTATGGTTCCCACTTCTAAGTATAAAGATCGATTTTACCATTTGAGCACTCTTTCTCTTGTTATTGCCTTACCATGCTCCATAACTAAAAGCAAGTCCACCGGGAGCTCTTAGAGCAACTCCACCCATAGAGCCTTCCCCCCTGGCAATACACTATTGAATCCACCCTTTTGAACAGTAACTGCCTTAAATGAATAGTAACTGACATTAATGAACAGTAATTGCCATTTGCATCTCCACCCTTGGAGCCCTCCCCCCAGGCAATAGGCAATTAAAATAATAGTTTTTTTTGTTTGTTTAAATAATACAAAATAAAATTATTTGTAATTTCGGATAAGAATTCTTAAATCGTTCTCGTTGCGCCACGTGTCATTTTATAAAAAAAAAACAATTATTTAGCGAAGGATTTCGATAAGATTTTTATCCAATGTTATCGTGTCATGTGTCGTTATCTTTTCAGAATCTTTGGTAAAAATAAATAATTTTTTATACATTAAAAATATTATAATATTAATCCAATTAAAAAAATTAAAAATTAAAAAAAAAAAAAACAGAAACCAGAACCCAGATCCATTTCTTCCACCTCTCCTCCCACCCCCGAGAACCCCTTGCAAAAACCAGAACCCAGCTACCTCCCCCCCCACCCGCCGAGACGACCCACCCCCCACCCCCCGCCCCGCGACGACCCACTTCCCTTTCGCACCCATGGAAGCCCAGCTCCGATCCCCCCTCTCTCTCTCTCTCTGACACAAAAAAAATCTCCGGTCCCCCTCTCTCTCTCTCTCTCTGACACAAAAAAAAAAAAATTGCAGAGCCCTCGGGCCACAGGCCCGTGGACTCCCCACCCCCCCTTCGCTCGGGCTCCCACCGTCGCTCGGGCTCCACACGGCTGGAGCTCAGTCCACAGCGCCTCGGGCCCTTTCCTCTCCACTGTCCCCCGAGCAACCAGCAAGGCTAGAGTTGCTCTTAGGCTGACACCCAGCACCCTTTTTGGCTTGGCACCCAGCCGATTCCCTATATCCTAGTCAAATAGGCAGGCTAATAGCCCAAGCCTATGTGACATCATGCTGGCGCCAACATGACGTCACAAGTCAATTTAAATTTTTTTGCGTCAAACGCGTGTCCCCGACAAAAAAACGTGGGCGGGGCCTAAATGCGCAGGCGCACTTAGGGTTTCGACAGAGAGACCATTGGGCTCGTTCTGGGCCGTTGGATTTCCAACAGTCAAAAAATTTTGAATTTGAAAACCAACGGCTAGTAACATTGTGTGATATGGGCCGTATGATCCAGAGATCAACGGTCCACGTTTTCCCCCCAATTTTTTTTTTTTAAAGTCACAACGGTCAGAATTATGACCGTTGGCCACGTGTCAACATATGGTGTGACATTCCATATCGCCCAAGGAAGTGGATCCTGTAAGTCTTATATGTATATTTTCATCTCTACCTAGCACGAGGCATTTTGGGAGCTCACTGGTTTTGGGTTCCATCGGAACTTCGAAGTTAAGTGAGTAGCGCGCGAGAGCAATCCCATGATGGGTGACCCACCAGGAAGTTCTCGTGTGAGTTCCCAGAAACAAAACCGTGAGGGAGTGGTCGGGGCCTAAAGCGGACAATATCGTGCTACGACGGAGTCGAGCCTGGGAAATGGTCCTGCCCGGGCCGGGATGTGACATATGGGCTGTTGGATTTGAATCTTTTTCAAATCCAACGGTCCATATTAATTAACTAAATTAAAATTATTAAAAATTGTTTAAAAAAATACATAAATTTTTTTTTCTTTAAATACCTAACTGTCATCTTCCACCTTACACCACATTTCAATATTTTCAACACTTTCTACCAAAGCTTTCATATACTTTATGTGTGAAAAAAATGGCTACGTGGAAGCTCATCAAAGATGTTACGTTATGTGAATGTTGGGTTCACATTACTCATGACCCGATTACTGGTAATGAGATGGAGTTGCGAG